AAAACCTAACCCTAAAATCCAGAATTCCCCCCGACCTTTGCTATAATGTTGAAGGTCCTCACCTCCACATGCCGGTTCCACGCCGGTACGTCGTCGTTTGGGGTACAACTCCGGCCTGGGCCCACCGTCGAGGCTTCCTCTCCAATTCTTCGGGTCCTGAACTCCCTCCGAGGAACTAACACAAAAAGCCCGTATTTTTATAGCCGGTTCTTCTGCTCCGACTCCTCTGATGGGTCCAACCCCGCTGAAGCTGGGTCCGAGGCCAAAGAGGTTGATGGGGCTGCGACTGATGAGGCTGAATCTAAGTCTTCGTCAGCTATTGTTCCCACTGTATTTAGACCCGAAGATTATTTAACGGTTAGTTTTTATGAATTATAGTTATACATACATTTAGTGTACATGAATCTGTGGGTGTATGTATGATTGTTCAAATTTTTTGATCTTTTAACCTTATAAGCAATAAAAAAATTGGGTAAATCTCGATTTTGCTTTTTGACAAACCAAGATTTGAAAATAAAATTCAACGTTGTGGTTAGGGCAACTCTTAAATCTTAACTTTTTTGTACACGGGAGCACTTTTGCAATGTTTGTACTGAAAAAGTTCAAAATGGAATTTTTGTTGCAAGCTTGTCTTAACTAATGGCGAATTTGGTCTCATACAAAATATACATGAGAAAATTTGGTGGATTTTTGTGTGATAATGCACATATTTGTATAGTATGCACAAGCTTGTTAGTTTAAGGAGTGCATATTAAATTCGCGGCGACGCTTTCTTTTACTCTCGTAAGTAATTATTTCTTGATTTCTTCCACTTGCTTTCTCTGCATTGCAATGCAACCACATATTTGGGAACAGAAACACAGGGAGCCTAAATGATGAAATTAGATATTTTGGTTATATGGTCTGTAAAATGAATGTGTTGGGGTGTGAGGATTGTCTTTCATTGGAAGATTGGTATTTTAAGTTGCTTTCTCTGCACTGCTATGCAACCACATATTTGGGAACAGAAACACAGGGAGCCTACATGATGAAATTAGATATTTTGGTTATACGGTCTGTAAAATAAATGTGTTGGGGTGTGAGGATTGTCTTTCATTGGAAGATTGGTATTTTAAGATGACAATGGAATTTACGTCTGTCTCTCACTTACAAAGTAACAGAGGAAATGAATGTTCATGTTCTATTTGTGGTGATGGAAAGTGCAAAGCTTGTGGAGGAAAGGGAGGGGCATCATTAGTTGTTCGTAGAATATAAGGTTTTTCTGTTTCTTACTTCCTTATTTATTGGGGGTGGCAATGGAAAGGTGATATTGTTCCATACCCAAGGTTTGGAGAAATAATTAGTAGTGAGGAGTTGGGATGATCGTATTTTTTGAGGGGTGGGGAAGAATTGATTAATGATGTCTTCAACTTGATATAATTATTAAACTAGACGAGTGTATGAGAACAGCGGACATTTTATCTGGTTCTATTAGTTTTAAATTTATCTGACTCGGATTCCAATGAAAATGGGAGTTAATCCATTTTTTCAATGTTTGAAAGATACACTAACAATTAAGTACATCGCTCATAATCCCCAAGCTGAATTTATGCACAATTCCTTTAGACTTTACAGCTGATACTGAGGGCGGTTTAGTGGTCATCATTGTGAAATTCACTCTTTCCAAGTATCTTCATTTGTACCAGATTTTCTTTTATCGTGTTACATTAAAGGATGAGGATTATTAGATTATGTTAAACATGAGCTGGTATTTTGTTGTTCCATTTTATTTTTAGAATGTATAGTAATCATTATCTCATACTTGTGCAGGTTATAGCATTACCCTTGCCACACAGGCCATTATTTCCTGGATTTTATATGCCTATATATGTGAAGGTATAGCTGCTCATGGTTGAGTACTTTGGTTAGATATTTTGT